TCTATAATTTACTGGTTGTAGCATGGTACCTTTATGAATAAACCATTCGTCACAAGGTGTAGTAATGCTAATGTTAACTGTTGGTAGGACTGATGATGTGTGTTCGATTCTTTCGTCAAATTGATAGTAGATGACACATGCATCGTCTTGGGAAGAGGATGTCAAGCCACGTCAATACTTACCTGTATTAATGATTACCAGTAAATTAATCTTTGCAGTCTGAGATTGGAAAAAAATACTCTGATTTTGTGGTATGCTGTATTCATGATGCCATATGAGTACAACATATTTTGATCCATTTATTTTTTGGAATACACCTGGAGTACAGAGCTGCTGATGTAATGTTCATTGTTAATGCATAGTTTTCAAACATTTACCCTTGAAACATTATACTTTTGAGTTTCAGAATTCTTGATTATGAATATCAGTCAAAATAGAAAAATGGGTTCCCATGATGAACGTTTACAGAACCCAAAATTAGTTACCGTGGTTTCCCATTGGGTAATCTGACGGAACCGAAAAACGGTTACCGTGAATTTCCGAAATCCTCAGGCCTGCTACTGAATTATTTAAATTTTTGCAGCATTTGTTTATAATTGTATGTATATGCTGTTGTTTGTGTTACTTTCATATGCAATTGAATAAGTAGACCATTTCAGAATTCGAAATTTGGGACTCTCTAAATGCATCATGGGACTCATACTTTTCTGATCAGCGAGTCCCTGGGGACTCGCTGTGGGTAAACTGTAAAATTATCACTGGGGGTGCAATTAAATTAATTTCCAAAATTGTTCAGCTCTACTTGTGAGTGAACTTGAACTTGCACACTCATTGAGATTGATCTTCCAACCGAGCCACAACAACATCCAGCAATTAAACCCATCCCCCACCCAAATACAATTTGAACCAATCTATAACCTTACCTGTACTGTTTTTGAAGGTCTAATGCAATAGAGCACAGATCCACATAATTACTGCTGGAAGCCAAATACTGAAAAACAAATTAAAAATTAATATAGATAAGAATTATGCAGGCTTAATCTTTTGCAACATTTATTTCATGCATAGCATGATGTCAAAACAAAAGCATTACGTTGGTGCCACCCAGTATTCATGTGTGTTTGTGTAGCTATATGTAAATATCTAAAACAACATACATAAACACTATGGGTGGACCAATTTTTGAAAATTGTCCAATCCATTTGGTTCGACAGTTTTGGTTCATATGTGTTACATGTGGTGCGCAATGTTTTTTCTTCCCCGCCACTTCCTGAGTGCTCAAGCCAAATGGTGGTGTGCATGATTACAGTGGTGCGCTGTGATTCTCACTCAAGGCAGTCCATGACGTGCGTTATAGCCTGCCAGCGACACAGCAGGGAATCATATTGCAGCGGAGCTCGTCCTGCCTCAGAGGCTTCACCAGTTGGATTCATAAATGACGCTAGCACCATTGTAATGGTGCGGTCAACCAACGCTACAGCATCTTTTTATGTCCAAGTCAAGGTTGTTGCTCCATAAAAAAGATGAATTGGAATTAAAATTGGTTGGAAATTGCTTTGTTCATGACTAAGGTTTTTTGATTATCACAGAAACTTGGTTTAACCTGAGAATATGCAATACTAGCATAGAATTAGCCAGCCCTCATCTTTAAAAACTGGGAGTCATATATATGAACTGCGAGAATTGTGACACCACTTAAGTCCCTATCTCACTGTGGGGCGAACAATTGCGACTGTTGGTAAAGATAGAAAAATGTTTCGTTCTCATCAGGTTTCACTGAAGTTCACAAAACGTCAGCCTAACATTTGGCAGATCTTCGGCAATAGTTTTAGTGATGTTTCTTTTTGCAAAGAAAGTTTGAACATGCAGCAAGAAAATTACGGGCGAACTTCTGGCGACATTTGAGACATTGAACGAACCCTGATAGAATGACACATTCACCGCCTTCGAAAACACAATTGTTCACTGCTACAACTCAATGGGATAGGAGCTTTACCTGATTTGAGTGTAAATATATCCACTCAAATTATAGGTCTGTTTTGAGTTAACAAACTGGAGTGTTTCTGGACACCATGACATGGAGCAGGACACGACATCTTTCCTGGGTTATCAAATTCTGCATAGACATCATCACCATGGACAAGCAGATCTGGGTTTACCCTAATGCTAAATCCTGGATTAAACAGGAGTAGAACCTGCTCCAGGCAAGGAATACCACCTTCAGGTCTGGTGATGAGACGCTGCAGAGCGCTGCCAGAGCATTAAGGCATTCAGGGGGACAAGGCTGCTTATAGGAGGAGGAGAGAGAACTACTTCCAGAGCAACAATTCCGGGCAAGTGTAGAAGGGTGTCCAGCACATTGCGAACTACAGACCCAGAAGATTGACAGTAGACCATGGTGACACATCATGAGCAAAGCAACTTTGCATGTTCTTCGATAGCTTTGCGGTACAACCACCAGCTCACAGAACCCACATAAGAACACTAGATGAGGAGTGTGCTGAGGGCAGTGAAGCCGAGGAAAGTTCCGGTTCCCGGTGGCATCTCAAGGCAGGTGTTGAGGTACTGTGCTGATCAGCTGGCTGGAATCTTCACCTTCATTTTAAACTGGTCCCTAACTGCCCAACTGTCGCTCCTTGCCTGCCTGAAGACCTCCATCATTGTCCCGCTCCCTAAGAGGAACATCAGTAGATTGAATGACTGCCCCCCACCCCATTGGCACAGACACCCATAGTCATTAAGTGCGATGGAAAACTGATCAGATTCACGTCAGTTCCTGCCTCACCCTGTGTCTGACTCTCACCAGCTTGCTTTTCAAACCAACAGGTCCATCGAGAATGCTCTGGGGAAAGCTCTCCACTCTGCTCTGTCGCACCTGTAGGAGCAGGGGAGTTACGTCCGGCTCAACATTTAATACCAGCCTCCAAAGCAGACTGATGAATATGATGTCAGGCCCGGGGGTGACTCACTCAATATCCCTTTGGATTTTGGATTTCCGAACGAACGGGTCCCATAGGATGAAAATAGGCTCCCACTTCTCAGCCTTTAGGCTCCCACCCTGGGCTTTGTATTGAGTCCCTTACCTTTCACCCTCTGTACTTATGAATTTGACCCCCCATCCAACACCACAACAGCACTATAAAATTTGCGGACGACACTCCTGTGGTGGGGCTCATCTTTGGTGGCAAGGGGGGGGGGGGGGTGAACTAGCATCCCGGGATAAGGTGGAGTGACTCTCAGTGTGATGGCAACAAAACAACTTTATCCTAAATACAACCAAAACAAAGATTATCGTGGACTACAGAAGGATGAAGAGACATTCAGCCACTGCTCATCTGTGGGGACCCTGTAGAGACGGTACCTGATATTCATTTCTTGGGTGTGCATATTACATACAACCTGACTTGGAACACAAATACAACAATTGTGAAGAAGGCACAGCAGAGACTGAATTTCTTGAGGGTCCTCAGGAGTAACAATGTGCCACAAAACTGTTGGTGTCTTTCTATCGCTGCTCCATAGAGCGCATCCTCACTTTCTTGCATGTGTGTTTGCCACTTGCACAATATGAGACAGGAAGGCTCTCCAAAGGTCTATTAATATGGCCAAGAAAATCAGCCGTTGCCCTCTGCATTCCTTCCATAAACTGGATAGATTTTGTTGCCTCAGTAAGGCGCAAAAAATGATCAGAGACTCCATTCACCCCAGACATCACCTATTTGAACTTCTACCACCGGGCAGATGTTACTGTGTACATGCCATGTTTGTGTGTGTGTGTGTGTGTGTGTGTGTGTGTGTGTGTGTGTGTGTGCGTGTGTGTGTGTGTGTACGTGCATGCAAGTACATCGCTATTATAATTAGCTCTGCCATCTTTTCTCTCTTTTGCAACACTCTTTGCAGTATATTTAATGTGACAAACAATTTCATCAACCACAATGTGCTTTCAACGGTGTGTTTCCACAAGTGCTTTTGATGGTGTGTTTCCAAAGATCCATTATGTTGGGGGGGGGGGGGGGGGGTAAGATAAGTGAAATATAATGCATTGAATAATGACTATACAGGGAAAGTACCTGGCAGGGCCACCAACACATGGCTCTACTTCTGTTCTTCAATAAATATAGTACAAGCAGGCAATGGTAATAAAAGACATACTTCTTCCAATCGCTGTTTGAGTCGAACATCCAGGTAGCCATTACCTCGGTTCTTCATGTCTGGAAGGGGTTTTTCGGGACACTAAAATGATAAAGAAAAGCATGGTTTACTTCGGTGCTTTATAGGCCTAGCAGGTAATCATTAGTATGTACAGTGATCGACACGTGATCGATATCAATAGAAAATACACTTTATAACGTGTGACAGAAAAAAAATCTGAAGGCAAACCCTGACTGCGGGATCGTGTGTGATGTAGTCAGGGCACAGTTTCCTCCAAACACATATACACACACAGATAGAATTTGAGACCCTGAGGCCATGACGTACCCGCGATGATTTCCAACTTTGCTGTGCTGTTTACTTTCACCGGAATGACTGCGTTAGGTTGAACTGGAAGTTAAATGGTTTCACTTTAAAATACGATGGTAGCATGTTTTAAAAAACTTTATTTGGTTCATTTGCAACAACTCAGTAAGCTACGTGTCGGACGTGGTGTCCATTTTTATGGGTAACGACTGACAAATGAAATACTTTTTCTCACGCTGGTTGCATGCAATATTTCCATAGTGTGTTCTTTTGTTTGAGTCAGCAGGATTTCAAAGGGGTACAATTCACCTACATGCATTTTGTCTTTTTCAAAGTGACAGCTACAAAGTTGTGGTGTTCATGTGATCCTCGAATAGAACAACTAAGTATAATTTTCTTTGTATAATTGGTCATTTGTACCAGTTTTTCACCTGAATATCTTATATCGCAAAGCTGTTCAATGGTAAAAACAGTGGTTATTTTGCTGTGAACGGCAACTACCCACCGAGCATTTTGCCATGAATCACATGAAAACCACAAGTACAAATTCTGCATCATTGGAAGTGTACCAGTTCATGATGTAGTGGTTATAGTGGTTGGCCAAAAGCTTTTGTTTTTTTTCTCTGCATCACAGGTTCAAATACCTCTATGTCCCTTTTTATTTTATTTTAAAAAATGTTTTCAAACAAAGTTAAGGTAATGCAATGATTTGGAAACACAACATCACTGGATTGACATTGCTCGAACGGCCACAGCTGGAATCGGGAGCCAGTTACTGTGGAATTCAGTTGAAACGTAACACAGCAACCTACGGTCATGGCCCAAAGTTTTGAGAATTACACAAGTACAGTCATGGTTTTCACACAGTTTGTTGCCTCAATGTTTTTAGATCTTTTTGTAAATGATAGGATGAGTCTCAAAGGATGTTATATACAATTACATTTAGTTCATGCAAAGAGTCAATATTTGCAGTGCTGACCCTCTTGAGGATTGAAGAAAAGTTCTCAATAGGGTAAAAGTCTGGAGCGTTTCCTGGCCTTGGACTCAAAATGTCAATGTTTTGGTCTCTGAGCCACAGAATTATGACTTTTGCCTTGTGGCAAGGTGCTTCATCATGTTGGAACAGGTACCATTCTCTATTCATGGCTGTGTTCTTGGGCAAAATTGTGAGAGAACCCAGTCCCTGGGCTGAGATGCAACCCGACACATGAATGGTCTCAGGATGCTTTACTGTTGGCATGACACAGGAACAATGGAAGTGCTCACGTTTTCTTCCCACAAAATGCATTTTTTTCTGACAAAATGACTTTACCACAGTCCTCAGCACTTCAATACCTTTTTCAGAATATCATTTTGTCTTTAACGTTGTTCCTGTAGATAAGTGGCTTCTTTGTTGACTTCTTGACACCAGTCCATCCTCCAAAAGTCTTTGCTTCACTGTCCATGTACTGTATTGTATTTTCACGACCCAAAGGCGCACTTAAAAGTTTTACATTTTGGACGGTGCACCTAATAATGCCTTATGGATGTAAACATGTATTTTTTTTCCCTTCCAGTTTGACAAAAGACACCTGAAAAAGGCACCTACGAATTCTTGCGAAGCACAAACTCTTGGCCACGGTTGTACACATCACGCTAAAATAACCAACCTACTATCACGGTAAAATAGCCGATTCACGGCTGAACCAGAACTCCTCGCACTGGCAATTGATCAATCAGAAATATTCAAGGCAAAATAAGCTCGAGGAGCGTTGTCAATATTTGGGTGGGTCGGCGGATGGATGGATCGATTAAGTTACATATGAGCATTCAGCGTTCATAATTCGAGAAGCGGGCGTGCATTTATTTTTCTGAATACACTTGCCAGAAATGTGTACATTTTGTACGCAGCCTACGTAATGGGTTAAAAATTAAGTCAACATCGTGATTTTGCTTACTTTTACTGTACGAGCAAAGTTTAATTTTGCTGAAACAGGGCACAATAAATGTTTCGTGAAACAACACAAACACGCTACTCAAACATTAGATTAAGATTTATAAAAACACATGTTCTTATGACTGAGAAGACGCTACAATTAGGAATAAAACAAAAACCGCATGGAATCAAAACAAAAAGACCCCATATCGAAAGCCATGATCGTAATAGGTTACAAGATAATACGTAGAATTTATTAATGTAAGTCCTTACCTTTTTGAATTCTGCTCAAATTGTTAAAACTAAATAAAAATTTGATGAAAACCTCACGTACAGGCTCGCTTTGCTTCGTTGTTGTTATTTTTCTTCTACTACTTCTTCTTCTTCTTCTTCTTCTTCTTCTTCTTCTTCTTCTTCTTCTTCTTCTTCTTCTTCTTCTTCTTCTTCTTCTTCTTCTTCTTCTTCTTCTTCTTCTTCTTCTTCTTCTTCTTCTTCTTCTTCTTCTTCTTCTTCTTCTTCTTTTTCTATTACTACTGAAGTTTTGTTTTTTTTTTTTTTTTTAACAATCTTTATTGAACAAGTCAGGAGACTGAAGTTTGGCAAACAATTTTTGGTAAATTACAGTACCACCAGAATCTGAAATAGAGGTCCCAAGTCCCACACTGCCCCCACGGTCCACAAATAGACGGTCAAATGTCATCGCATCGTCCCCTCATGTGGAACACTCAGGAACTGCGCTCGGCATACGCTGATCACGCACTGCGTGTAGGGCACCAACAGCAAAAAAAAAAAAAAA